CTTTCGTCTGCAAATTTGACTGACCTCAGAGGTATTAAAAGATTAAATTATTATGTAAGTCAATTCTCCTTAACCACTTTTGCCAATGAGATAGGTGTCAAAATAGCTTCTGCTGCACATCATTCACTGTCTTATCCCTTATTTGATGAAATATATGTGTATATATGTATTTTGAAGACTTCCCTTGGTCCAGTGATGACTGTACAGTAGATATTAACACTGTACATGAGCCAATATTTTCTCATATGGGCATAGCCTAATAGTTATTATTTCCAAAGCTCCAACATTACCTGCTGTGCATCAGCCAAAATGCTAGTGTAAGAATTTATAGGCTGTGACCCTCTGCTTTCCTTGCTTGAAATCACCTAGAAAGTCTCACTGATTCAAACATGAAGAATGACAGAGTTATCAGGCCTGCAGAACAAATTGTTAAGTGCCTGGCAGCCAATTTTTGGATATAAAAATTTTGCCTAGATTTTTATTTTAATTTCTCCAAAGTGGATTCTAGGAACTTATGTCTCGAAAGAATTTTCTGGGCACTCTAGACAGTACTTCATGTAATCCTCATCAAGGACACTAATGGATTTATTCGTTTGTCAGTGGCACTGCTCCACATGTTCAGTTGTGTAACAGAAGATCCACACTCAGATGGGAGCTGGGGAACTGGTGAAGGCTTCCCAGAGAAGAGTTTGGCTGCCTTGTTTTTGTCATTTGCAGGCAGACTGTTTTAGATTTTGAATTTCAGCTTTCACTGGAATATTTACCTGAGAATCCTAATCGTGTATGTTCAGCTTCCAAAGGCTGAAGGAAAGTCATATAGCTAAACCAGAAATTCAAATAAAAATAATACAAAATATATTTGAAATAATTCTTCCACTCCTTCTTAGTGGAAGGCAGAAACAGCCATAGATATTAAGGAATTTAGACAAGATAGTTTTAAATAATTTATTTAACACTTCAGAAGACGATCCACCAGGAAAAGCAAGATCACTGAGTGGGTGGTCAGTCACACCTCATAACTTTTTAGGATCCAGTTTACCCCAGCAAAACAGCTCATCATCTCAGCATCTGCCTGCCATCCACGGAGAGATTGGAGAGCAAGCGTTCAACTGGGAGACTCTTCCAGTAAGCAAGATGATGATAAGCTGTTTCAGGCTACACAAAGTAGCATCTGGCCTCAAAGCATTTAAAAATAATCTGTTTTGACTAATGTGTCTTATATGATAGGCTATCATGTCATGTGCTGGCACTAACAAAAGATGTGAACAATATGAGATGTCAGGTTAGGCTGAAGATGCAAAAAATGTTGCAGAAATGCAAAAGGTGCTGGCTTCATCAACACCGGGTGTTTTCATTCTGAAAAGTGCTTCAAGAAAAAGATTTATGAATACAGTTGATCTGGAGGGTGAGAGTGTATTTCTTTTTTGAAATAAAAAGGAGAAGCATTTTGAGAAACATGACAGGAATTTCTTTTGTCCAGAGATAGGAGAGACTGACCCAGTCAGCCCAATTTTTATCTTAAGTCTTTACAACTAGCTTCTACCCTGAGTCCTATCCATCACAAAAAAGGTACAAATCTGTCCTTTTGGTGCAAATAAAACCTTGCCACATTGTTGCCAATAACAATGCAGCAAGTCTAATCTTTGAAGAGGAGCTCTGAATTTAACATTACTGAAACCTAACTAACTTTGAATTTGGTCTGTGTGATTCCTTTATGCATACTGATCTGCTGTGCTTGGAAAAAAGTGGGTAACTTTGTATTTAAGCTTTGCTCTCTGTAGGTGTAAGGTTGGTGTGGTAGAGGGGCTCCTTAGTTTAGTGATACTATAAACTGATTAGTGCAAATTGCATCCAGTACTGAATTTATAAATAATCCAGAATTACAATAAGGGTGGAAATCCTAATTTATTTAATTTATTGTTAATTTTTTAAGATATGTACAGTTCTTACTTGCTTTATAACTTTGATATGTTTTTTATTTATATCCTCTCTTTTTAGGATTGATTTATAGTTCTTGTTTCATGGTGATGCATTCATAAGAGTTAGTATCATATCAACAGCTGTATCACTGAAAAGTGCTCAGATCCTTCAGAAATGAGAGTAGTCAGTTTTAATATGAAGAGACTTTTAAAGCATGTCTTGGTATTCGGGTCTCTATATTGAGTCTGAGAAGATGGTTTTTGTAATGAGAAAAATAACCTGTTTTGAGGCAGGGAAATATTTTGTGTGTGTTCAAAATATGCTGGAAGAGGGGAACAACTTAGTCTGAACTAAATGATGCTTTTATTGCGATCTGTATTTCAAATAACCAAAATGGCAGATCAAACTAAATATGCATTTTCTCCCCCCTTGCCTTTATGTTAGATTCCTAACTCTTTGAGAGGAGTCATCAGTCAAAAGGAGAAACTACAAATAATGTGTCTCTAAGTTTTGTGATCTCTTCCAAGCCAGGTGGCAAGTGTTCCTGCATGAAGTGTTTATCCTATAAATGCTAGCAAACCTTTGGCCATCTCATTTTTGATTCATTAAAGCATTTTCCTTCACAAAATTGTGCTTAGAGGTATAATTACAAGTTCTGCAGGATCTTAGATTTACTTTAAAAGTGTGCTAGAGATCTTTTTTAAAGAGAACACAGTTTCTACCCACATGATTGCCGGAAGAGGAAAAGCTCATTCCTCTTTTTACCAGTCCTACTGCCTACACACAGTGAGAGCATCTGCAAGTCCTGGTCCCCCTTTCAAGTCCTAGCAGATTAGTCTGCCCTGAAAGTAACAATTTCCCTCTATGTTGAAGTATGCCTTTAAAAAAAAAAATTAAACCAAATGGTTTCATACCATTTTGACACCACTGCTGGCTCATCTGAAAGAGGAGGGATTCTTGCATTGTGTGGTGGTGGTGCACACACATCACAGAGATACCTCAGTAACTGAGAAGGAAGGATCAGAGATACACACACACACACACACACACACACACGACCATCTCCTGTTCTTCAGAGAGGAAGCAAACTTCATCTTGGTAATGGAATATATGAAAGAAATGGCATTATATTTTCCACAACAGAAAAAAAATGTGTATTAATGAGGATCCCACATTTCTTGCTGCAGTTTTCTGGGCAGAAATAGATTTGAATGTGGGCCAGCAGATGATGCAGAGGTCCAGCACACCCAGAAACCACCAGGCATGGTGTGTAGGTGATCACGGGTATGGAATCCCACAAGTCCCAAGCACATTGGCATCTACATGTGTGCAGTGGGCAAGTCCAGTGACACAGATCACACACATTTTTCCTGTCTAGGAGGATTTCCAGGAGGAAAAAGGAACATGCATGAAGTCCTGCTGGGATGATAACTGTGTATATATTTCACATGCTGATAGCCAGTGTCTCACCTGGAGGGCGATCGGTAGCCAAAAATATTTAGCACCAGACTAAGTGGACCTCCTCTTCCCACCTTTCTCCAGTAGCAGAAATTCCTGGGCAAGCTCTCAAAAGAGGTTGTACCATGGCTATAACAACATGCCTCCTGTCAGCCCATCCTGCCTGTGCCGTCCCAGAGACAGTTGTCAGCCCCAAGCCCAGGCATCCCCACTGTCCTGTGATGCTCCTGCCCCGTGTGGTCATTAACAACCTCTTACAGGTATCCCAAAGTAAGCAGGGAACCGGGAGAGGCAGATGGGTTTGGTTCAACGTACGTGCATTTGAAAAGATGCAATGATGGTCCATAGTGCAGAGGTCCTGAAAATCCTAATGATGAAAGAGAAGCTAATGCTGTCTACAGGCATGTAAAGGTTGCCCGTCATCCTCGTTTGCCGGGAGCTGGTCCTTGCCTGTTTTCACATAAGGACAATATAACCAACTTTATTAGTGCAAATGGTTAGAGACTCTTACAACTCTCCTTGGACAGCTGCAACAGAAAAGAAATTCATTACGAAAATCTGAATCTTGGATCTGCTGCAGACGCTTTTCCCAGAGGTGGGATAATACCTAAGCATGCCTGCTGCTGGCACACCTGGCTCAGAGGCAGAACACAAATTGCAATTGTTTCATAACACTTGGGGACTTTCTTTGGAAGATATAACTGCTTCAACTTATTTGTGTGCAATCTACATTTCCTTAGACATTTATTGTGAGGCTTCTTTCTTCTGTTTTTAATTAATCATGGGTAGATGATACTACCACAGGAAAAGGATTTTTACCATTCGAGATATCGTAAGTATTGGTTAAATTTGGAAGAATTTGCCAAAATTACTCAGATTAATTAATACCTCGATGGCCTAAAAAAATCATGTGAGTTTATGGCAAGTAACACTCCGTGTTTCAGCCTGTGAAGCCTATGTTGAGCACACATCTGTTTCAAAACTAAATGAAGCCTCCATTTTCCTGGCTACAGGGAGGGATTTTCCAGGATTTGTAGTCTCGGTGACTATTTAAGTGCTGCAGAAGTAGGCTCAGAATGTCAAACTAGTTTAAGGGTACTGGGTGATAAGGGATGTGGAGGAGGCCAGTGAACTCTGGGGCACCGCTGTGCAGACTGATGATAAACTTCAGCTCTGGACTCCCACTCTACTTCAGCCATAAAATTATCTTTCTGCATATGTTCTGTTGAATGACCAAATACACTGTAATGGTATATGACATAAAAATGTCCTGAGTCTCTCTCCTAAGCTTGCCTGGGTTTAAGGAGACACTCCATAAAGGACAACAGAAATGATCAGGTATTTTTCATGTGCTGTTCTGTCATCAGTTTTGGAGTAGTCAGATTATTTTTTCTCTTGTCTCATTTGCTGTAACTTGACAGGAATTAGAAAAGAACAAGAGAAACCCTTGCAAAGCTTTGCATTAGCCAACTTGTTTGAAGGTGCAAACCCTTGCTCTTGCTTCCCATGAACAGCATCTTTCACATATTGTTCTTCTGATTTTCCTTTCTTTAATAGTTCTTCCCACCATTTCACCTTATCCTACATTGTCAGGTTAATGTTCCCTTCACCTGTGTTCACAGAGAATGCAAATAAACTGGAAGAAAGTGCAAGAGGGATCTACATCCCTTGTCCAGAGCATTACAATGGCTTCTGCATGCATGGCAAGTGTGAGCACTCCACGAACATGCTGGAACCGTCTTGCAGGTAATCCTTCTACCTAGGAGGGAAATCTACACACATGGAAATACTGATTCACAGAAACACTTAATGTAGATCAACTATGGAAAATACTGGCAACCATGGCCCTTTGTGCTACAAAATCCACTAGACTTAAATTATTCAACCAAGTCCCTATTGTATGTGGCAAAAGTATATTGAGTTATGCACAATGTTAATTGACTGTGAAACCATCCAGTAGCCTTCAGTTATATTTAGATATGTTTTTAAAAGCCCTTCACAAAGCACTCGGGCCATTGCTAGGTGGCCTCCTCAGCCTGAAGGAGGAGAGGAGTGCCACCAGGGCTATGTCCCTGCTGTGGCAGGAGTGATGCTCATGAGGCAGCTGTCTGGGGCAAAGGTGGCTGCTTCATGTGGGAGGTGATTTTGGAGGAGTTTAGGGCAGGGAGGAGGAGTACAGTGAAAGCACGTGCTTCTGCAGTGAATGCCTCCCTGGAGAGGTGCAGATACTACTTCTGAAGTCCAACCAGTGTCCTGGTGGCATGAAAAGCACTGTTTTGCATGGAGCACCATTTTCCTGAGACACTGGACTGGGAGAGCAGAGATACAGACCAGACTTTCTCCCCAGGGCAGATTTTCAAGCCAGCTTCTCCCAGCTCTCACAAACAGCCAGGGCAAATTTCACTCTTTGCAGCTGCTGCATTTTAGGTGCTCCATTCAGCTGGAAAATGTCCTTTCCTCAAGGTGCTGGCAGCTGTGGGAATGCAGGAGAGGAAAAGAGTGGAAGCTCAAGGCTTAACCCATCAGGGTTAGCGCTCCACTGAGAGATCTGAGAGGAGCCCAAGCCATCTGTCTCAGTCCCTTACCATTGCTGCTGCCATTGACCTGGATTTTTGCATCTTCTTGCTTGGTCTTTTTAGGGGAAACAGGGCAAGAGCTAAAATTAGAAAAACACTGTTTGCCCCCAAAATCACAGAGCAGAGTGGAGATGTCAGGCTGCAGGATGGGAACTGGTGAGCAGCGCAGCAGGAGGCATCGGGGCGGATGGTTGCAGCATCAACAGAGGGGTTTTTTATAGCAACCAGACGAAATGTAAATGATGTATCCACTTTCAGGAACATCTAATCACATTTCATATGGAGCTTGGATGATTGCTTATCACTTCCTTAGGGGTAATCTGCATAAGGAGCCACAACTAGATGGCTTTTCACCCTCCCCCACCTCCCTAAAGAAAGGGAGAAATCTGAAATATGTTGTGCAAGGAACTAAATGGGTTCTCATTACAATGTGCAAGTAGTTCCACTTGATGCCAGTTATGACTTAGTCCCCTGGGCACCTCCTGGCACTCTGTGGTGTTGTTCACTCTCATAGACCTTTGTGACACTGAGGACCTGAAGTCTTCCCTATGAGAGGCTGAGCAGGCACTAGTACTCTCTCTGTGGGAGTCCATCCTGCAAAAAAGCACATAAGCTTATGCTTAGGCCACTGATTTTTTTTTTTCAGGTATAATTTTTCCAGCATTCTTTGAAAGCAGCAGGTATAACTAGAAAAAACTATTTTTTTTTTTCAGATGTGATGCCGGCTATACTGGACAACACTGTGAAAAAAAGGACTACAGCGTTTTATATGTGGTTCCAGGTCCAGTACGATTTCAGTATGTCTTAATAGCAGCTGTGATTGGAACCATCCAGATTGCTATCATCTGTGTTGTAGTCCTCTGTATTACAAGGTCAGTATCTCTGGTACTTAGCAATAGAAAAAGAAAATACTTTTGTTTTTCCTACTGTGTGCGCTGATTATACAGATTTCTGCAGTGACACTACTGATAACAAATGCTATTTAATTCACCAACAAACAGCAGATATCATCTGGTCCAGCCAGCCAGTGCTGCTTCATTATTATGACTGAATTTTTACTTCCATTTTAATCAGACTTAGGTAGCAACGGTGCCTACAGCAAGTGAAGTTCCCTATTTTGTATTCAGATAGTTGGACAAATATTGTTCATATAAATAAGGGGAATATAAATGCAGCAGCTGGATCAACACTTAATAAAACTAATCATATCTCCATCTGGTTTCCTTAAGGGCCCATTCCCTTAGTCCTAATCAGGCAAAGCATACAAACTTTTAAGCCTGTTTGCAACCCCGTTGATTAAATGATTTCATTAGCCTTGTGTGCATGTTCAAAGGCACCGCACATGTTTTAGGGTCTTCACTAGGTGGTGGCACACCAAGCCATATGTGATGTATTTGTCTGGGGTTCTTTAAGTGCAGAGGAAAGGGTTGTGTGAATGGAAATGACCAGAATGAGAAGGGGAAAGGCAGTCCTTCCCCTCCTGCATGTGCGCTGCTCCCCCACTGAACTGTGTTACTCTCTGGGAGGGCTTGGGCTAAGTTCTGAATGTCAGACATTCTACAGGCATCTCTCATGAGATTAAATTAATTCAGCTAGCAACACTGATAAAACACTTTTTTACAACTAATTTTCTTTTTAAATTACAAAAAAAAATAAATTAAAAAGTCAGGTATCATACCTCTGTAAAAAATAAAATTTCTAATATATTTCAGTCTTTATGTTGCACTACCTGGCTGGAAGACAAGTGTAGCATTTGTTCCTTGAAAAGCAAAATCCATAAATTCTTTTCTGGCCTAAGGGCGTAAAACAAAACCTCTTTTGGCCAAGCTGAATCCATCAACTAAATGGCAACTGCCGAATGAGGTAGTAGATTATGGTGGTATTCACAGAGGTAATTCAAACAACCAAAAATATCGTGTGTTGTGAGAGAAAGAAGGTGGTGTAGTAACTGATAATGGAACAAATGCTTGTGTATAGTTTTGTCAAGCGATTCTAGCTTTGTCACCTTGACGCAGTGAGGCAGAGCACTTTATACTGAGGAATTCAGACAGTGAGCTCTGAGTGATCTGGTACTGTAATGCAAATTACCCATCACACTGTTTTCATACAGAGACAGTACCTTTTCCCACACACTTTGTAACTGAGTGAATTTATGATCTTTTGACTTTTTTCTGTAATGCATGTAATTACCGCAGAGCATCCTCCATCCCAGCATAATGATTTGAGATACATTTGCAAAAATGTACTCTTAAGTGGCCTAAGAGAAATCCACATGACAAGAGACTGTTGTGGCAGCATATGCATAAGTAATTGAGTTTTTGAAGTAGTCTGCTTTGGAGAACCTGACTGTACTGGTTTGAACTCCACACCCTGAATTCTTGAAAGTGCTGAAACCACCCTGCCAGGTTCTTGGGAGAAAGAAGGGAAACTTTACTCAGAGGCCACTGTGGCCAAATTCTTTGCAGATCCTTTCAGTGCAGCTTCACGTGAATTTGGTGTACTGGGTCCATTTGAGCCACGCAAAACTACCCTTGTAAGCTTCTAGCTGTCACTACTGTTGTTGCTCTTAAAATCTTGTCTGTACAGTGGTGCAAATCTACAGCATGTCCTCCATTGCTTGAAGGCTCTGAGCAAGTGCTGGGCACTTTTAGGGCCATTGTTGCACAGACACTTTAATCTGAATAAATGGGCTGTGCTGCTGACAGGGATGGTTTTCCTTTGCCCATTCCTCCACCTCCTGGGCACAACAAACCTGGTTAGGGGATGGACTCAGCTGAAAACACAACCAGCAGAACTGATGGTTTGTTTTTAAGTGGCTCAATTCCTGGAAGAGATCGGCCACTCGTCTGCTCATTACTAGTGCCAGCAATAGGAATAAGCATCTGAGGTGGAGAAGTAGGGAACCAGAGGCCAAGACATGAAAGAGTGAGGCAGTCCCTCTGCCCAAGGACTTTTAGCTTAGAGGTAAGGCAAAGAAAGAAGCACTGATTAAAGTGAAGGAGAATGGTAAATAGTATAGGTCTGGCCTAGTATCATAATGATTCTCAGCAGTTTTCTTTACAGCTTTGCATTTTTAGTGCTTCCCTAATGTTTAGTCACAGCAGCTTATTTATGTGAAGAAATAACTTGATTAAAAATTAATGCATAACATGTTTTACCTGCTATGAATCACATTGTGAGTAACTCAAGCTTGTGAGCAAGCTTCAGTAGAGGGAGAGCAGGCAGCCCGTGCTCCAGCACCCGGTTTACATTGATGTAACTGCTTTGTTCATAAATGAATGCATCCCCCACACAGAGCTCTACAGAGGACTTTTGATTAAAGAGTTAAGGACCAAAGAAAACCTGTCACTCAGTTTTAGCAGATGATTAAGGTCTAAAAAGCTGGTTAAATGCAAACACCTGTCTTAGGAAACCCAGCTGCACTTCAGACACAACCTACCTGTTAAGCAGTCTCGGTGTTGGTGCTTGGCCCTGGGGCCTTCCCAAGCTCCCATCGATTGGTAATGTACTGTATTACACAATTAAAACATGGGCATTTTTGGTTAAAAGATGCTTTTTCATCATCTTAATTGGAGTAATCTACATTTGAATTGATTTCTCTCAACCTTGAACTGAGTGACTGTGTAGATACTGTCAGTGTTAGTTTTGAGAAAGTGCCCATGAGAAGCTCATCTCCTTCCTTCCAGCTGGAGCAGTTGGTATCCACCATTCTCTGTGAATGCATGGCTGCATCCCCTGGGATTGCTGACCATCCTGATCATTCCCCAGCCACCTGGTTCCTCCACGTTTCTTACAGAACCAGTCTGGTTTTGTAAGAACAAGACTTTACGCACTCTGGCTTCCCGCCCGTGGTTCCCCCGCCTTGCTCTCACGGCTGAGCACTGGGGAAAAGCAGGGCTGTGCCTTCTGCTGTAAATCCTGATCCTCTGGGCTTGGGAGGAGGCCCGGTGTGGGGAGTCAGGCATGGCCGCAGCAACGGGAGCGAGCGGTGCTGCCTCTCAGCGTGGCGAGGTGTCAGTGCACGGCGAGGTCCTGCTGTGCATCTCCAGCTGAACGGGCAGGAGAGGCCGCCCGGGGACAGTCGGGCTGGGAGGCTGTCAGCGTGCACATGACACACGGCTCAGTGAATCAGCCCTGTGTTTGCCAACAGTAGCTCCCTGACTCACTCGGAAAGTTTGATCGCCTTTTTAAGGGACTCGCAGGGAATAATGAGTTTGCTGTGAAATCGCAGACCAGCCAAAGTCTGCCTTAGTTCCATAATGAAAGCTCTGCCGTGACCTCTGAGAGCACAGGGGATGCTGGCAGATTTTTCCTGGAGTAATGATAGCAGCCTACTTCACTGCTTCCCAGAAAGGAACGGTGCAAAATATAGTGCACAGCCATACAGCTTCTCATGAGGAGGTGGTCCTGGTGGCTTGAAAGTGAGGCAAGTCAGGACAGTCTGACCCATATTTTGCTAGACACTTATATAATTGTATTTCAGTATTTTTATATAATTGTATTTCAGTATTTTTAAATACTTTGTAAGTTCTTACGCTCTTGTTTAGCCTTTCAGCTGGCATCAAAAAACTATAGCGTCAGTCCCATTCAACAGGAGGGGAAAAATGACCTTTTTTGTTTTAAGGGGTTAGTAAAAATGTATGTTACTCTATTCTGCTGTTAGTTATCTGACACAGAGCTGAGGGCAAGTGCTTTGAGCTCCCCCTGTGCTGAGAGAGTGGGCTGTCGCTGGTGCATAACCCATAGGGTTTCAGAGGGTGCTGCTGGAAGCCCTCCTGTAACAGAAAAACCAATCAGTTCAATACAAAGGGAATGTTTAGAAAAACATGTGTCAGTATGGTCTGGAGTATTGCGGGGCCTCTTGTCATGCCACTCCAAGAGAGTGTTTCAGTCTCTCTTGTGTAGCTGCCCACAGTTTCTGCCATACTTCCCTTAGCTTTCAGCTGCTTAGAATTTCCTTTGGCCTCCACCTGGGTTTAAACTTTTCTGTGCCGTCTGCCTGAGGATGCCTTTCCATGGAGGGAACCAGAAATATGCCATTAGCTTTCCATTTGGGGGAAAAACTGCACTGGGCAGCATCCCACAGCTGTCACTGCTGCAGGTGAAAGGTTGAAACATGCCCAGCACCAGAGGTCCTGAGGCACAAGAGGTTTGCTTCTGCAGCTGTCCAAAGGAATATCAGATTTGGGGCTTTCCAGTGCAGTTGCTTTCTGCACTAAGCCAAGCAGCCGTGTCAGGAGCGTGGCACAGGGTAGGCACCTGTAAGTGAAGTAGCTGCTTGCTCATGAGCAGCTCATGGAGCATTTCCATGGAGACTAAGAGGGACTGGAGACACTTAGCTCCTCGGAAAGGCAGCCACCGCAGGCACTTTGTAAACACTTCACAGACCTGGCCAAGCAGGTGAGTGAGCGTGAGACCATCCCAGATCTTCCACCTGTGCCTTACTTGAAAATAAACCCATTATTTAAGGATGAGTGATGCGGTGAAGTTGGGGCTGTCGTGATGCAGCAGAGTGGCCACTGCTCAGGAATCTTAGCATTTGCCTTGCCATAATTTTGTTCACAGTATGCTTTTTGGGGGTTGTGGTGGCTTTTTTTTGTGGTGCCATTGCCATTAGCCAGCTCTTTTCGTTTCACCAAGGAGGGGAAGTGTGCTGAGGGACAGAGGATGCCTCTCTTGCCCTCACGTCCCTGCTGCCGCCCGTGCCACCTCCTGAGCAGGTGTGTTGTTAAGAGCTGTGTATTCTCACAACTCTCTTTTCCAGGAAATGTCCCAGGAGCAACAGAATCCACAGACAGAAGCAAAACACAGGGCACTACAGTTCAGACAACACAACAAGAGCATCGACAAGGTTAATTTAAAGAACGCATGTTTCCACAATGGCAAAACTAACTGCAGAGAGCTTGGACTACAAAATACAGTATTATAGACAAAAGATTAAGACAAGATCTACACATGTTGCCTTGCATTTGTGGTAATCTACACCAATGAGAACATGTACTACAGCTATATTTGATTATGTATGGATATATTTGAAATAGTATACATTGTCTTGATGTTTTTCTGTAATGTAAATAAACTATTTATATCACACAATATAGTTTTTTCTTTTTCATGTATTTGTTATATATAATAAATACTCAGTGATGAGAAAAAAATTGCCTTTCTTAAATTTGCTGTATCTCATAGCTGTGTATAGTCTTGGGATATTGTATATGGACACTAACAAATCTCTTTTTCTTTCTTTTTCCAGTTCTAGTGGCAATTTTGAGTCTACTGAACTCAGTAGTAGGGTTTTGAGTTGGTCCAAGATCAGCGACAATTATGGATGTGGGAAAGGTGAAGAATAATTTAACCTACATTGAGGAGGGATAAAATATTTCAGATCCGGAGTCAACTACATTTCATCAGCCTTCTTCTCCCATACCATCTATCTTTACTCTCCCATAGCTTAGGAAGTCTTTGGCTTCTAAATTAAATCCTAACCGAAGGGGAAATGGAAATTCTCGGCAACCGCGATGAGAGTGTCGGGGGTAATGCTTCGATTTGGGAGGGAATTAGGTGTCTGTCAAGGTGAACCCTACAAGAACACTTTGCAGAATCTCCAACTCTGGTCACTGGAGTGAGTGAAAATTGCTTCTCACTCTTGATTGAAAATTATTAGGTTAAAAAAGTTAATAACATAATAACAGCTGAAATGCCAGTCCCATTTGTACCTCGTGAACATGCTGATATAATTTATTTTTTCAAAGAGAAGGTGAAAACCACTCAGAAAATACCTTATGAATAACTTTATAGGTGACCCTACTCCATTAAATGTAATGAACCCAAATGTTGGCTATACCTCAGGAAAATAAGGGCATGTATTTTGTCACATCCACATGATGGACAAAATGCAAAGTTATTTCCATGATAGCTGAAACTCTCCAAAAACACGTTCTTTCGAGAAGGTAATTCTGCTCTACTTTGTGCTATGAATTTTGAAGACAGGAGAGTGAGACTGAAGGGCAGAGTGTGGTAACGTCACTCCTGCTGGATAACATCCACTCCACTAATTGACTGCCAGAGCAGTAGTCACACTAAATAGCACAACTGAACTAAAAAGCCCTTGTAACCGTAGTCAGTGTGCTGCTCCTTTCCAAAGATACTTTGCCAAGGCAGAATGTACCCAAGATAAGGGTTAGGAGTATTTCTCACTGTCATCATCATGTAAGAAATTGCATTTGGGTCAGAGTCAGATCTGGGGTTACCTGGGATGATGGTCTCATGAGTGTGTTTCCATTTCCTGCTTCAGCATCAGTCTGGTCACTCACAACAGTCACCACCAACCCCACCGGTGACAGCCCACCCCATCTGGCCTCCAGACATGGGTGCAGCGGTACTTCCACTCTAACATGACTTTTGGTCTTCCCCTCCCTCCCCTAGCCTGCTTTAAAGTGAATCCATTGCATGATGTTCACACGGTCTCAGTTTTTGTCTTGTTCTGGGTTTCTTGGCTTTTTAAAGGTAATAAAAGGTGATTGGCAAGAGATGCTTCCAGGCACCTGGTCTGTGCTGATTGATGGGAGTGGGAGTGTGGTGCTTGCACAGGCAGCGGGGCAGATGATGGCACAGGGCAGCTCTCTGGCTTTGGGCTGCCAGCCCTGCAGGGACCTTCTGCTCCCCAGAGCCATGGGCTGGGCTGAGGGAGAGGGAGCTGTACAGCCGCCCTCTGCTCCTCAGCCTTCACCCCAGCTCTCTGATCTTTGAGTCCTGTTTTCAGATTGGAAGAGTGATGGTGTGAGGCAGAAGCAGAGAGGCAGCAAGCAGGCATGATCCTGGCCCACTGGACCACAGGGATATTTCCATGCTTAAACCCACTCTAAAATACTCCTCTCTGTCCCAGTCCTTGCTGGTTTTGTGTCTCACACTCAAGCTCAGCAGGGGTGGTCTGACATGGAGGGCAGCCCAGGCACAGCAACACTGTGCTGCACAGGTTTGGTGGCACAAGATCCCTTCTAGGGAGACTTTGCAATCTGTGGTAATTCATACATATAACACCCCTCTTCAGATCCCTCCGTTGGCTACACCTGATGCAGTGATGGCTGCAAGCGTCTCTGAGACTTCAGCATCAGGTTGTGGATTGGGTTGGAGGAGGCAAATGTAGCTCTACCCTGCAGACACCCTCCCATGCTTTGTGCTTTCTGAGCGAAGCGTTGGAGTCTAACAAGCGTCGAAACCGCAGTTTCCGAGCCGATTCCAAATGTCAGTCCCCCCACTGGGACTATCAAGTCTGGACTGTTTATTTCGGTCGCTTGCATTAGATACAAAAATCAAATGTTAACACATACACACCACCATGTAGCTATAGCAATAAACCTAATTAAAAAAGGCAAGGTTTGGCCTGGCCAAAAATAGCACAGCTTCGCTTAGGAGTGAAAACAGGAGTCTGACCCACTGTCTCTAAACTTCCCAACGTTGTGTGCCTTGCTTTTACTGAGCAATGGCACATTTAATCCCCTAACAGCCTGTGTTTGCCAGGTGTCATTAGCTGCTTTCCCAGCTGCAATGTCTGTCATAAAGCCTTGCACCTTCACAATAAAGCTGGTGTTTAAGTATGTACTGCAGACTGGAGAGCAGAGAAGAGAAAGGGATTTTGGTTTTAACACACGGAGGGCAGGTCCCACCTCTTTGGGCCTTTCAAACTTAAACTTCAGCATGCTGGCATGGGCACACAGACTGAAAATAACAGTGTCTTGGGGTTGTATGTACAGGAATGAAGATTTCTAACAAAAACATTTGCAGAAATTGTACCAAATGTAGCAGCAAATTTGGACATGTGGATCTGGGGTTGCTATTTCCTGTTCTGAAGTCTGGAAAGTGCGTCTGTTTGTTAGAGCCATATGCTGGCCAGAACTTGAGATGGGGCAATCTCTGTGCAGTTTAACTTCACAAAATGTAGGGGGTCTGGGCTGGGCACGTAATGGCATGGCCAGGTGAAGCCATGGCCAAGGGGTTGTGCCAAATGCTGAAGCAGAGCCCAGCTCCTCTGCCCAGAGTCACATGGAGAGGTGCTGATGTGTTACTGTTTGTCCGCTTCTCCATGCAAGCTTACACCAACAGGAGCAAGTTTCCTTGTGATGCCCATGGAGATGAACTCAGTCTTTATCTGGAGGAGGCAATAATTCATATATTTTGGCTGTTTCATAGGCTTTTTTTGTCATGGCACTTTGACAACTGTAAATAATCTCAACTACCAGCACACACTGACTTTGCAAACCACATAAGATGTACAAAACCACTGACAAGATCAGTAATACCACACCTGGTGCAATTGCTTAGGGGCAATACACACCACCAGTGTCCCAACAGCCTGCAGTCACTTGCTGGCCCGGCTGTTGTTTTACCACAGGCCACACCACCTGGTAAAAAGAGGTAAAAATAGGACTGTTAGCACACTCCTTCCTTAAGGCTGTTTCTTTCAGCCTGTAATATTTCTGGAGCAAGAAGCCGTGTCCTTATTTTGACCATAATGCATTTCACACAACAACATCCTGACCTCGGTCCTCAAAATAAAGCCAAATTTGCTATTAGCATGCACTGAGTGCTAGTGAGCAGAGTTGACCCACCCTCCCCAGCCTGGGATGGTCAGACGATGTTCAACCCTTTTCTACCTTTGGATACTGTGCTGGATCCCAGCCCATAAGGAAGTTGCCTGTAGCTACCACATAGACTAATTGCAGTCAGGGGGTGACCCTCTCCTTCTCCCACCCCAAATGCTGCATTACAGGACAGGCACAGCTCCACGCCTCACCATCATGATCCTTAAAATTACATCTGATCAGACATTCATTATCATTCCCTTTCATCCAAAGATAATATGACATGATTTACAGAACATTATCATTACAAAAATATTATAATTAATGAAGGAAGGCTGGACATCCTATTCTAGCTGCTTGCCTGCCCCTGCACACGATCACCTCAACTGAAAAGACAGTGGGGCAGTTCCTCCCTGCTGCCACGACCATCAGTGTCACCTCCTCAGGCAACTCTAGGTCAGCCCGGCTTTGCAGAAGTTCCCTGGGTGCCAGCCATGAGGGACCAGTGGTGGCAGAAGGGATGCCCACGGGTCCCTGCGTGCGTCCCACCCGCAGGTTAACCGGGAGGGTGGGTGAGGGTGGGCGTCGTGGATCGCTGCCTCCCATTTTCCAGAAGCAGCTCTCAAAAAAGCCTCATCTTCAAAGAGCTCTCTAAAGCTTCTTTGAAAACAAAATGATTAAAGGCTATCTTCCCTCTCATCCAACATCAGACACATCGCACGCCGCATCCTTGCTTTCACCCCTGATTATGCATGCAGCTTTTCTGCAGCTCCCAGTTTTGCGTGGGGATGGAAGTTACAACCCCGAATTAAAAGCGAAGTTCATTACCACACTTCAAAGCCGGCGCTGTGCCCTGGCCAGGGCAGCCCTTTCTTTAATTTATGGGGGTGTGGCCAGGCTGGAGGTCTGGGGGGGTGTTGGTTATAAGATTGTTGGTTTACAGCCTGCCTCGGGTTTGTAAGGCAAGCGTGGGTAGGTGTGCCCGCATCTAGTGCTGCTGGTGGGGCTTTTCCCTCGAGAATAATCAGGAACCTCAACTGGACTTAAAGGGACATAGACATAATGCTGGGCCATTGGACATTAAGTTTTTAGAGCCTATTATTATTATTATTATTATTAACAACAACAACAATATTAATATTAATATTTTATCTATATTTCTGATCTCGACAGGCCACAACCTGGCTAATGGAGCCTCTTACACTCTACTCTGTTTCACATGGGAGCCAAAAGTCTCATTTTTAGCCCCACAGGCACGCAGTACGTGGGACGCTGCACCCTGACAGTGCCACCAATGCACCTGTGAGCAGGAGAGACAGGGGAGCAGGAGGGGCAGAAGGCACAGGCACAGCAGCCCCTACCCCACCAGCCCTCAGGCTGATGCTTGGCCTTCAAATGCTTGTAATATTAGGTGGGCTTAATTTATTTTAGTTTCAGTTTAATTAACAGTTTTGTCACAGCAGGAGGGCTGTTAAAAAACAAAGACACATCAAAAAAAAAAAAAAAAGAGGCAGGATTTTTTGTCAACTTTTTCTCTTTTTTTTGCCGTATTGAATGAGAGCCACAAGGCAGTAAAATATTCCGCAGTCTCACACAGCAGCCGCCAAGCTGCAGAATAAAAAAAGCATGTGAAGAATCTGCTCTATAATGCTAACGAGGTGGCATCCACTGCGCTTTGTCAATAAAATAGGAGGCCCATTTTGCTCAGCTTAGGAAGCACAGGCACCCAGGTAGGAGCCTTGATGTCAGTCCTTCTCCCATTTGATTTTCCCTGGGTGGTGAGGGGTTTCCTCAGTGGGGGCGAGGGGTCGGGAGTCGTGTGTCATCCCACCGCTGCCCAAGCCCCACAGCCACAGAGGTGACCCCAACCACTGCCATCCTCTGCCTCGCTTTGCTGAAGTCCTGGTGCCTTCACCTCTCACCACCCCAATGTGAAAAATAAAAACGATTGGAAGGTGAAAAATGTTAAGAAAACATAGTAACATCTCATAAACTTGCCATGAGAGAAGCTTTAAAAGGGGCTTGGTTTACACCGGGTCACTCAGAAAAGAAGTGTAATTATTCAAGATAAGATCCAGCTTCTAAATGCAAATGCGGGCGACAGCCCAACACCCCCGACGGCAGCAGCAGTTTTACGGCAGGGAGCTTTCAACAGAACAGGGACGAGCAGAGAGGTGAGGGAGAGCCGTGTAATGTGACCTGAATTAGCGGCTATAGATAGTGCTTCCTGCATGTTTTACATTTTCAAATAAAAAGGATCTTCTTGTTTAATGGTTAATAAAAAAGATTAGTGCTCCCAGGGCACGGATCCTGATAGATGCAGACTGTGCTGGAGGGACCAGCTACAAGACACAAGAGAAGATGAAACCGGTGATTTTATTTTTTTTCCCGTGGAGTACATCACTACCAGCATTTGCAAGTTAATTTGTAATATAATTATATGTTGCTTCTGTCACAGAAGCGCAGCACGTGTGTTGGGCCAGCGGCCCTGCCACTGCCACCGGCAGCCTGGCACATCCAGCAGCACTGCTGGCAGAGAGGAAGGAGAGGAGCAAGCCAGCAGCTGAGTTGGCTCTGTGTTATTAGATGCTAACTATCATATACATATAGATAAGCAACACGTTTATATGTATATATACATATATATATATATATATATATTATATACACACATGTACATATGAGTATATATATACACGCATACATGCTACATATACAGTCATATACATACACACATACAATAAATACACACACACACACATATAAAAATACAATTCTATATAGAAAAATTAATTTATATATATATGTATATCTATGTGTGTGATAGGTACTGCAGAGAGCAAGTTGACTGCCCTGCAGCACGTGCAGCTTCTAAGCCACCCAGGCTAACAGGCATGAACATCTTTGCCCTGCCCAGCTCCCCCCTGCAGCTCCCAGCACTGCCACCTTCCTAACAAA